TTCAGCAAATGAGGCTGAAATGGAACATGTCGTGGAACTAATCATTCATGCTTATTCTATAAGAGTACACATTAAATGATAATATGGACGTGATGCAAAGCTTTATAAATAAATAAAAGCCTACTGTCATGTCTTACAGAGAAGGAAGGCCAAACAACTTTAACACGCAACCCATGATGACAGGTAACTACCACAAACAGCCACAAACAGCACCGAAAAGCCAACGAGTGGAACGAATCATGCTTTAGACTGTCAACAACAAAGAAAAATGATTACATTAAATTAATAAATAGAAATAGAAATAATACATTAGTGTGAAGGGAAGACACCTATTGTTCAAACGATCCGAATGGTTTCATTATGTCAGTTTCTCATTGATCCACAAATGAGAAATACAAGATTAGCAAATAAACTTTCTCTCGTTAATTTGGTATGTTTTGGACTGAGAACTCATTTTTATAGTTATTTATCATTGTGTATGAAGTTTGGGTGTGATTCCAGATTGCTGATTACTTTATCCAGATTTGATATTTATTACTAGAGCCATGATGTAAAGGTATATTATAGTTTATCAATACATTATTTATACTCAAATGGAAGACAGAAGAATAACTTATAGGCTTAAAACAGTGTTTTAAGAGCTATTATCTTTACTTTTCTCACTTTTACTCACTTAAAAGATCTCTTGCCTTGCTTCCATACCCCAAAACATGGTTCAACGTGGTGAAAACAAATTGAGAGTCATGATTCCTCAGCACTTCATACGTCAAGTATGGGGCGAGCACATGCCCTGCAGAGGATTACAGAGTGAGAGATGAGGTGCAGAATCAGTTTTGGCTTGTATTTCTGTCTGAAGGAGGATCCCCTTTCAGAAAGATCAGGGGTGCATCTAGTTGGCACACACCGCACACACTTTCACAAGTTCTCACTCAGCTCTGACCCTGCAGCTCCACGACCAGTTCATATGACGGTGACCATGTGGCCCAGATGGCAGCAATTGGAGTCAGATTATTTTACAGTGAAGAAGTTCTCACTTCTCAGCAGCTCAGACTGTGCTACCGATCACTCGCCATTAATACAGAGTGGCATCCCTTGGCCGACCAGTTGCAGGTCTTATGATCACAGCAACTGCACACATTTGAGCTAAGCTTACATAAATACAGTACATTATGTAACCGTAGCACGAATAGCAACCATTTAATGGTATGATATTTCTGTGTAGAAGCAGATTATAAAGTGACAAGATGTACTATATCTACATCTACATATCTATATATAGATGTAGATCTCTCTCTCTCTCTTCATATATATATATATATGTGATAGATTGGTAAAATAAGCTTTTTAGGTAATCATATAAAAACATAATGTTGGCCTGTACTGCAGCATAACAACAGATCATAGTGGTCAAGACTGTGCGGCCTGGACCATCACAGTGTGCCAGCTGTGGCTCATAATGTGAAAGATCTCGTCCCGGGTCTGCTGTTTGACCTCTGGCTCAATTTGTCTCTGCTTCCAAGAATGTGCACGTCAACATTTCAGGACAACAGAGGATAGCCAAATAATAATAAAAAAAGTTTACTCCATCTACTAAGTTGAAACAGCTGAATAGTTCCACCTATGGCTTCTGTGCCATTCCATAACGCGGATCCTGGCACTGATATCCAAGTTTTTGGACATCCCTCAGGACTCAATTGGTCAGTGAGCATGGATCGATTCCACCCGTGTGTCTATCCATCCCATGCTTTACCAACCAGGTAATTTGTTGGGAGAAAGACACACATGTAGTGGGCATAGCTGCATGCAACACTGGGCACTGCTCGCATCGGCAGAAGGGGGGATGGGATTCTGCAGGGTCGCTGAAAAGTTTCAAATCATGAGCTCTCCGCTGCACCCGATATCCTGTTTATCAGCTGGATGGCACTTCTCTGAGTACCAGACAAGACGACTGTAACAGTTTCTTTAAGCAGTAAGCTAAACCTGAGAGCAATGTGTGACATCTAAAACTGACACCTTGTGACTTGTATTCAGTACTCTTCAGTGTGTGTGTGTGTGTGTGAGTGTGTGTTTAATGTTCACCTCTGTATGAAAGGGACCATCCCTTGTAAAAGCATGCGGTTTGCTAACAGGATATGGGTCTTTGGTGAAAAAGACACAGAGGAAGTGCTCTCAAGAAGGCAGCATATTATTTTCTTTTTTTCTCCCTCCCTGCCTCTCACTCCTCCCCTTCTTTCCACGAGTCAAAGCCTCTTAGTTCATGTTGAAGACAATTTAAGTAGACTATTCCGTTACAGGCTTTGCCTGTGACCTTACATCAGTGCTGCTGCATGACCAATGTATACTCATCTATTTTGATGCAAGGCTGATGAAGTGGAAGTGAATGAGTGAACCCGCAGACCCAAAGTGCAGAAAGTGCACACTGCAGACATCTGGGGCCAACAGTTGAGCGATTTGAACAGATTATTGATCTTTCTGTCTGATGCTAAAGTCTGAGAACTCCAGTCACAGCAGTGAGATGACAAAGTGTCTCTGCATTTTTCTTTCTACTCGAGTGAAACAGTGACTTGACTTGTATAGACGGTGTCAGAGGGAGTTTGAAACTACAGGTTCCAGCATCAGGAGGACGGCAGCGTGTTTTGACTCCTGAACGCTGAGGGACTGCTTTGCCATAGCTCCTTCATATTTAATTGTTCTGTTAAATTATTCTGGCTCACTGCCATGTTGTGCCACCGTGAATTGGGCCGTGGAGTCTGCGAGTGTGTTTGTGTGTGTGCAGGACCGGGGCGATGGGGAGGCTGTGCGGCTGTAGCACGGGTTTGCCACGAACGCTGGAAGCCTTGTGGAAAGCAGAGCCATAGCAACGGAATGAATTAATGAACAGGACATGAATGCTACGTTTAACACAAGGTACAAGAGCACACACACACACACACACACACACACACACACACACGCATACACAGGCCGTGCCAGCTTCTGGTTTCATATTCGACACAGATAACCTGGTGATGCAGGCTGAGCCAGAACTATTTCTACGGCTTCAAAACCTCCTGAGCCATCCTGAGAGCAGCTAAGTGGAGCACCTGTTACTCCCAGATAGAGAACAGCACAGAGTTTAAATTAATGAGAGCAAATAAATCCCACTCTGTTATCTCCACCTGACTCTTGATGTGAGCACCGTGATTATCAAACGGACTGAATGACTGTGAGCTGGATGGTTAATTAGCTGGACTGCGGAGACTTTTTACGCCAGCAGCTGTTTATAAAAAAAATTTCATTCAAATTCACTCCACAGAATGTGTTAATGAGCGTCTCTGAGAGGAGCGTTTCATGCTCTCCAGACCGGCTGCTGAGTCAGTAAGATTCAGAGAATAGTCTGCAGCACCCCCCTCAGGAAAAGAGCTCAAAACACCTGGCAAACCCTGTCACAGGGAAACTAAAAATCCAAACACAGACACAAAATCTGACTGACCAAATGAGCTACTTGATAAAGTGGCAAATTAGGTTTTGAAAATGCAAGAATAAAAATATATAGAATATGAATTGCTCAAAGACACCAAATAAACATGGTACTGAGTTTTAAACAAGTGTAAGACTTTGGGAAGTTATAACCTTACATACACGTTTTTGCACTGGCAGCAACCAAAGTGAACTAACCAAAATATTAGCATCTGGTCTATTTTACCTAGTGGTCTTAACAAGCCTCTGGTAGATGTTTTATAGGTGTGAACCTTAGTTACTGGAATGCTGTAAATGATCCCAAATCATTTATTAAATGAGACGATGCTTGCGAATCTTTTCTTTTTATATTTCTGCAAAAAGTCAAATTGCTTGATTTATATCACTTAGCTTATTTTACTTTTACATTTGGTTTTACTTAAATCATTACAATATACATTGATTTTTCTCAGAAAAAATTCTTTCTTTTTTAAAGAAAGAAATCTATATATATATATATATATATAGTTAGTATTGCCATGATATTAAGAGCAGGTCATTTCTAATAATGATTTCAATGACCTACGTGTTATTTGCCTTCTGGAATTTCTCTGCAACGTTGGAGACTTACTACTTTTTCTTTCCTACAATTATAGAGCGGCAGGAAAAAAGGCTTCCACACAGGAGGTGATAAACCCTCGAGCAGTCAACGTTGGAGTCTTTTGCTTGTGAAAGTCTGCAGAGACATGCATACTGAGAACTTAGCTTCCATCCCACCACTTCTCTTTCTAAAGCAGTTTGAGTAAATGGCTTTAAAAAAAAAAAAAAAAAAGTTTCAAAATGATGCAGATAAGACGCCATTCTAACCGACGTGAGCTAAACTAATGCATACTTGTAAAAGCCCTGGATAACATCAAATTATATTCATTCAACACTGCGTGTTTTGTACTTAAACTGGTGGCCGTCTAATCCTAAAAGCAGCATCCTTTCAGTCTTTTGCCAAACAAAACACATGACAAGTTATTTCAGAAAGATGTCTGACTTCTTAGACGGGTGTACTAAACACAGCAGTTAAAAAAACAAAACAAAAAAAACTGTGCGTTAATCAAAAATAAAAGAAAATGTTGTAAAAACAAAAACATGACATTTCAAAGCACACTTCTTTTTTAAGTTTTTATTGTACAATTTTACAATTACATTTTGTACAAATGCTCTTAACAAAAAAACAAATGTTTTCTGGCAGACTGAAAAAAAGGGTTCTTGGAACGGCACTGTTCACGCAGCCGCAGAGTGCACACAAGCAGCTGCTGCTCGACGGAGGATGTTGCATCTGAGGTGAGGGGGTGAGTCTTCTTCCCACGGAGTGATGGGAGAAACCAGCGAGGTGCAGTCTGACGTTAGATTTTGTATTGATAAAATGGTCACAAACGTCCAATTTGAGAGTGGGGGTTGGGGGGGGGGGGGGGGGGGGGGGGGTGCTTGGAACTTGTTTTGCTGTTGTTTGGTCCAGGTCCAAAGATTTAAGAGGCTGAGACGCAGGGTCAAAGGTCATGTGGATGAGTTTAAGAGCGGGTGTACTTCCCCCAGATGTGAAGCATGAAGACCGAGGCAATAAACAAGAGACTCATCACCAGCACTGGCACCGGGCCGCTGTCATGACAATGAGACACTGATTAATACCCACATTAACACACAAAGCCTCCACTTGCTGTAACCAACCAGAGAGGGCTTCTTAACGCAAAGGCCGACTTTATTGATGAGATTTGGAAACGAGGAGGGGCTCTTATCTCTGAAGGAGGCTCTGAGAGGGGGAGGTGGGAAAGCGCATCACTAAGTAACGGCATTGCCATGCCAACCCTCGCCCCGCTGCCCCCTCCTCTCCCTGTCAGAAGGCTGTAATTGAGTTGACCTTTCAGAGTGGATCCTTTAATGAAGCTTTGAGGCCGGCGTCTAACGCAGGAACAAACATGCACTCGATATACACCACTGTATAGCAAGCCTGCCCTCCTATGACTGCTGGAGAGACGCACTCGATAACAACCACAGCACCATTGATCAACGGCTGGCCATGGCCAGGAGACAGGATGCCTTTCTTAATATCAGTGGCGAGGATGCGGCAGAGCACAACTTGGGGAAGAGTGTTTTCTAAGCACGCACTCCAACATGTAATGATGTGTGCGTACAGGCTTAAACGCTGAAGTCAAGCTCATCCACGGCTAATACATCATTTGTTTTACCAGAGAGTCACGTCTGCCCAATTTCCCACCATTAAAGCCTCTCAAGTGTCGGAAATACTGGAGGTAAACACGTTTATGTGTGGCAAGTTAAAATGTCAGAGGCTAAATTTGTGAGCGTGCGGACGCAGCTGCTTTTCTAAACTGTACTCACACTTTGAGGCCTGGTGAGTCTTCGGTGTAGAAGCGCCACATGCCACCGGTGCCTGCGGATCCCGTGGTCCTGCCACCGCTGCGCGTACCGCTGCTGGTCACCTTTCTGCCATAAACACACACACGAAACATCCCTGTATCCACTGCACCTTAAAATACTCCCTATGACTCATTTCATACTAATGCAACTACGATAAAGAAACATTTCATTATAGCAAGAACATCCATTAAATGGCAGCGCAGCCATGTTTTAAAAAAAATCTACATCATGAGAATTAATTTAAGAAAAATCATCTTTGGTTCATTAACATTTACAGGCCATTAGCCTAGAAAAAGAAATAAGAATAATAAAAATAATCAGGGCCAAGTACACAGCATGTCAAACATGTCATTCTAATACAAATACAGAAGCTGGCGATGAAGAAGCAGATTGATTCATGGCTGCTTCACTCATGTGAGGAGATTAAACAGAGGTTAATGAGGTAATGAAGAGGATGGTAGTAATGGGTGGTAATGAAAGGCTACCGTCACCCTGTGATTACACACTGATTGAGCTCACAGGGCATCTATCCATTTTAGTGTGTGTGTTTTTAATGTGTGGCGTGTGCATGAAAAATGAATGGTTAATGGTCTAAGCTTATAAAACACCTTTTAACTTGCTCTAGGTTCTACATAGCTAAGTTCCAAATGTATTTTTTATTAATAAGAATGTTTATGTGATGGTGCTTTTTCTGCAATTGTGATAAAACGTTCAATGCCAAGGAAGGACTTCATTTATTCATTCTATTAACATCATGGAGGCAACAGAGGCCCTTTCAATACTGTGCTTTTTTAAAGGATACTTTCAAGCACGAGCTATGTTTTGATGTCAATAAATCTGCTAAAACCAAAGTCTTTTAAATATTTAGATGTGTAGAAAAGAAAAAGATCAGCCATCTTTACCATTTTGTTTTCCACAGTTTTAATTAAAACTGAAACACCCCGTCCCTGTGTACCCTCCCCCTTTAAACAGCACCCAAGAGGAAAATCTGAGTTGCAGTGTGAACATTTAGGGCTCAGCACTTATAAGAGTGGATGAACTCAGCATTCCACTTTGAACCCAAATCCAAAATGAAAGCTAAGTTACTTGGAGTAGGTGTTCTGGAGCATTTGAAGCAAACATTGTTTATTAAGTCAAGTTTTAAGTTACAAATTCCATCACACCTTCCTGTTGAGGTTTATATGAAAAATTCCAGAAGCCAAATAGAGATGGTGTTTTCATTTTCGATGCTTAAAGGTGGCTCAACTTTGTAGAAATGTGTTTATGCAGTTCTACAATGATTATCCATGATTGTGACAGCCTTACTTAGTTTAGTGTGACTTTCAAGTGATGAAACTTGAATGATCGTGTGTGTACCTTTGTCTGACTGTGGAGCCTGCTGCGCGTGGAGCCACCGTCTTGCTGGGGGAACGGCTAGATGCCCCAACATTAGTTGCACTTGCTGCTGGTCCAGGCTAAAAAAAGATAAAAAATATTAAAAATATCACAGTTGAAATGGGACATCAATACATCTGACTTCTAACATTTTTTTCTTATTAGTCCCTCTCACACTGCAGGTATAAGAAAACCCCTTAACTCATTATAATAGGTTACATTAATTATGAACAGCCATCATCTGTACATTATTTTGTACTCTTACGTACTGTAAAATGTCAAGAGCTGGTAGTAGAGGCCTTCATATACTTTCATAATGTAGCATATAGCATAAAGTGCCAGATCTGCATCTTATACGTTCACATGCATGCATAGAATATTTAATAAAGAGCTACGCGTTTTTAAACGTGTACTTCTGTCTAATTTTTGTTAAAAGAAAAATATCCACGTCCACAAATGATGAATCAAAGTTAGCAGCCAGCTAGCAGATGGCAAAACGCCAAATCGGGTCTAAATGAATGTAGCTGAACTAGTTAGCGTCAATGAAGCCAAATGTTTCGGAAGGAGACGAGAACGTTACCATTTTGATTTATTTTATATTTCCTGATGCAAGCTGAACCCCCGAATCCCTCTTCAAGATGATGTCCACGTCAAAAGAAGGCAGGCAGTTTGGTCAAAACTTGAGAAGAGATCCCACAAAGCTGACGTTCGTCTAAAAAGGACACGAGTGCTAAATGTAAGACCAACAAAGGTAACCAATAAGAAGCCTGATCAGCTGAATTCTTTCAACACAAAAATATAAAAATCTAAAGCCATTATTTAATAGATTTGTACTTTCACAATATATATATACTCTAAATCGTATTTATGATTTTTAAAATCGCAAAACTACCATTCAAATGTTGCATTTCTTAAAAGGCAAAATAATCAACCGCAATGCTCCAGAGACATACGTGTCTCACAGGAAGCGTACTATGACAACGGAGGAAACAGTCGCCATTGTGGTTCAATCGCAAAGCTTTATTAGCTCGGTCTCAAAGGTTGATGTGAGCCAAAATGTCGTCCTCCGTCAGTACTCCTTGACAGTTGTCGCCGCGACGAACTTATTCACAGGTTTCCAAACTTGGACAGGGTAGTGGAGAGATACAAAGGTAAACACCCATATTTGATATTAAAATAGCTATGTTTGCAGTGTTATGTTACAAATGCTTTCGCCCGCTAACGTTATTAACTATATCAGTTACTAGCTACAAAGATTGAAGTAAATAGTCTCGTAAGAGTTTAACATATCATTCTTTTCTGAAACAATCAGTGTCTCAAATAGCAGATTTGTGTTCTAGCTAGATATTTTCTTCAGTTTAGACAACACAGTGCCAAAGCATATTGAATGTGGAGGTTTGGTTTGCAGAAGATGTATAATGCACCAAGTCCCAGCTTTAGCTATATTAGCTGTAAAAGTAACAGATTTATGAACTTGGGCTACTTTTTGCAGCAGCTCTTTTCACCGCTGGGAAAGTTTACATTCCTGGACAATGTGTCACGGTTAATATTTGTCAGTGTGCAGAATGTCGCGGGTGGTGTTTCTCCATCCAGACCTTGGTATTGGGGGCGCAGAGAGGCTGGTGGTTGATGCGGCCGTTGCTCTGAAGTCAAAGGGATGCAGTGTTCAGATCTGGACGGCCCATTATGACCCAACACACTGCTTTTCTGAGACCCTGGACCCAGACCTGCCAGTGGTGTGTTAAGACACAATTTCACTGAGTTCTTCAAAAAATGCACCATAATGCAACACAGGGTGTGTCCATGCCTATCGTAGGTTTGTGTTGGTGACTGGCTACCCACCAGTGTGTGTGGCTATCTGCATGCCATGTGTGCGTACTTGAGGATGATCTATGTAGCACTCTACTTGGTCTTTCTCAGTGGAGTGGAGTATGATGTCATCTTTTGCGATCAGGTAAGTTAACAGTCATTCATCTGAGGTCTCATGAGCTATCCACGTCTTTGTAAATAACTTGATCAGTTTTGTTTCCTTTAAACTCAGGTGTCGGTGTGCATACCGGCGCTGCGACTGTCCCGTCAGAGGAAAAAAGTTCTGTTCTACTGTCACTTCCCGGACCAGCTGCTGACCCAGAGGAAGTCGGCCTTAAAGAAACTTTACAGAGCTCCCATTGACTGGCTGGAGGAACGAACCACTGGCATGGCTGATATGGTGTGTAACAGAGAGCCAGTAGCTGAAACTGTGTGTCCTGAAGCAAATTGGGGAAATCATTTAGCTTTTAATAGGATTTAGCTTCATCATGTTGGTTCTACTACATTTAAATTACTTAGTGACTTCTGATTGCATTGCAACAAAAAAAGTAAAAGCACATAGGCAGCTATTATTGTTCTGTGCAGCAAGCTTCTCAAAGACTTGTTTAGATCCAGTGCTTTTGCATGTTGTTTCTCACTGCTGAATTCAGCTAGTTTGCGCTTCAAGCTGACCTAAAATCTGGAAATATGTGTAAGTTTTCTTTTCATAGTTGTCTGCAAGCATTTAGATTTCACATTACCTTATGTTCTAGTGACTACAAATTTGACTTTATGTGTTAAACGTCACCTGGAGAAAGGTGGATGCTTCATTGACTGCTGGTTTGAAGGCTCTCCTAGGTCTCCTAAATGCGTCCCAGAGACACCAGCACATGTGGCCGAAATTATATTGTTTCTGACGGTCCTAAGATCATAATTAGAATTATCATTTTTTGGAGGAATTAATGTTTTTTTCTATGCAGTTAGAGAAATTTGGACATAAAAGAAATTTCAGCCTCGTCCCTCAGAGTTTTCCTCCCAACAGCTGCATGGCACAGTGAGAATCACAACCCCCATTCTAAAAGTTTTGAGGTAAACTTTAAAAAGAAAACCCAATTATTTGCATGGTGGTTATTTAACGCGCAGCATGACGATAACTGCCGTCAAACAGGTGTAAAGCTCAGGGCCCTGATAGAGCTGAAATGACATTTTGATTTTAGCCGAGACTTTAGGATAATGACGAACCTCAGGCTGAATCCAACTCAAAGGGAACTCAACAACCTGTGATATACGAGTTCCTCGCAAACTAATCTCTGCTTCTTCCTAGATTCTGGTAAACAGCCAGTTCACCGCAGGCGTTTTCACGGAGACCTTTCGTAGTCTAAGCAGAGTCCAGACAGATGTCCTCTACCCCTCCCTCAACACGAGCACCTTTGACCAGTCATCTAGTGAAACCCGGGGCCTGGAAGGCCTGCTCCCTGAGGGGACCTCCTGCCTGTTCCTGTCCCTGAACCGGTACGAGAGGAAGAAGAATCTGGGCCTGGCTCTGGAGGCGCTGGCAGTGCTGAGGTGCAGCCTCTCCCCTGCTGAGAGGGCGGCTGTCCACCTGATCGTGGCGGGGGGCTACGACGAGCGCGTCACCGAGAACGTTCAACACTACACCGAGCTGAAAGACTTGGCCGAGCAGCTCCACTTGGAGGAAGCCGTCACTTTTCTGCGCTCGCCCTCCGACTCCCTGAAGGTGGCGCTGTTGCGGGGCAGCACGGCGGTGCTCTACACGCCCAGCAGAGAACATTTTGGGATAGTTCCCGTAGAGGCTATGTACTGCTGCTGCCCTGTTATCGCCGTGAACTCTGGGGGGCCCCTGGAGAGCGTGTCGGACGGGGAGACGGGCTTCCTGTGCCAGCCCACAGCCGAGGCCTTCTCCCTGGCCATGGAAAGGCTGATCAGGGAGCCACAGCTCCACAGGGACATGGGACAAGCCGGGAGGAGAAGGGTTCAAGAGAAGTTCTCTCTTCAGGCCTTCTCAGACCAGCTACACGGGTACATTGTAAGGCTGAGCCAGTGATGTGAGGGCAGGAGGAAAAAGCAGGGCCCAACCCATAGGAACGGGAAGCCCGACTATCCACAACGAGCTTAGGACCACGCGGAGGATGTATGTGTATATGTGAAGGGAGGTGGGGTGTTATAAGGACTTAGAGGACAATTAATCAGCATTCCCCTGGAGGGGTTGCTGAGAGGGGAGAAAAAGGGTGGAATTTTTATACCAATTAAGAAATGAGAAATGAGTTTACCTATTCTATCTTTGGAGAAATATGTGTGCGAGTGGAGCAACGCGGCTTTAGAAATGAGCCTACCAACAAGATTGATTGTTAGAGTGAAATGTTTTGCACTATTTGTGTGTTTTCTTTTCTACAGGACTCTTTGTTTTTGTGTGTTTTGGGAAAGAAGAACAAGAATGCAGCTGCCGCCACGGGCCAGCGGGTAGTGCACAGTCTCAGATCGATAAACGGGATGCTTTCTGCATCATGTCCGCCCAAAGCTTTGTTCCTCTTCTTGCATTCATAAGGCCCTGGCCCGTCCACGGCTCCTGCAGCTGTGTGCGGGTTATTAGTAGATGATAGAGAATGTGTGGCTTCATTAGAGGTCTGGCTGATGGGCAGTGTGCCTGTGTCTGGGTCATTATGAATGGGGAGAATAGCAGAAGGTCATTGTGTCTGTGTGTTGGCCTCCTCAGCCTCCCTACTGTATAGAAATGCTTTTATTGACATTCTTGAAGTCTTAATAAACAAGAGTACACATACTTTCCACGAGTCTTACTTTGTTGGTAAGCTTTTTTGGCCTTTAAGGATTTTGTGGGTGATAAAGGACACAAGGGAACATTAATAATGCTGTGAGCAGATCTTATCGGACATTGGCTTGTCAAACACAGCATATTAAAACTAAAGCAGCACAAAACAACTTTTGTTTGCTTATTAAGAAAGGGACCGTGGCAGATCAAAAGCAGCACAGCAAACTTTAAATAAGTTGCCTCTATCTGTTGTTTGTATTCCTATGGTCATACCACGTCACGCATGCGGCTCATCGATTTTGTTCAGGTCATTTAACTGAAAGATGATTAAAAAACATTGGCCTCTGTCATTTCATTCATTTTGCCCAGATGAATGAATTTCTTAGTCACATTTCATCCCTTATGGTTGCACACGGGTAAGGAATTTGCCTGTTTATTGTCGTATCACTTTCATGTTGGAAAACCTGGTAAACATACCCTTGTTCTGAGTAGTAAAGGTACTGCTGCTATAACCTTAAAAACACAAAACAACGTTCACTTCTCAGCATGTCTTTATGGGAAATTGCTCCAAATAGCAACCCATAGCAGCTGTGGGCTCACACCAATTGATTTACTGAAGTATTGGAATAAGTTAGGCTTGACCCAAGGTGAATCTGATTGTCGCCTATCATTAAGAATAACTCATAAAGTTGAGCTGGACACAGATTCTGCAATCAGAAATATTTTTTGTCACTGGTTTGAGTCTGTGGTGTGCTGTTCACCTGCATATAGATTTAGACGGTTCCTCACAGACAATTTCAAATGCTGAAAAGCAAAGAAAAACCATCTATGATGGCACTTGACTTCAGGCCTGCAAATGATTTCTCCCTATAGGCCCAATTAGTGCCAGTGACCACGGTTAATTTGAAAGAGATATTAGAGTTTCCTCTGTGGAGCATCACAGAGATTCACCTCAAGTCAATTAATGTATGTAAGCCTGATGTATTTCATGACTGCTCCTTTTTAATATTCAGGATTGGTTTGGTCGAAGAAATCTCACTTTTACAAACATGACATTTTCATTTGTGGATGGATGAGCCAATACTGATCGATTATCAGTCAGATAAATGGAAAAAATGGAAATGAGGATATTTTGTAGGGTATGTTAAGGTAGTCTTTGCCAGTCTGTTTTCAGTTGTCATAAGCCAGGCACACACCTGATTTAGAAATAAATAAAACAAATTAGAATGAAGGACTTCTTACAACATTATGATGTAGCGTTTGAATTCTATCTCGAGTTAAAGCAGTCACATTTGATGTTTCCTTTTTTACCAAAATTAAGGTTTTAATGCTTCTTAATGAGCCGGATGACCTGGAGTGGAGTGCCTTCACAGTCCTCATATCCTTTTGACCAAAGTATAACACAAACATTCCGGGTTAGTTTAAGCTTGTGGAAAAAACAGATTAGATTATGCATTGAAGGTATTTCTGTACCTTGATAATTTCTTACTCGCCTCATACGTGGTCGGAAACAGGTTTCAGTGTGCTCATAAGGTAACTAAAAGTTTTTACAACAGAGCTTAACTTTCCAGGCTACGGCTCTCTGGCTAGCAGAAGCAGAGGCCTCGGGAAAGCGATCTGCGGTTGGACCCTTCGCGACCACCTGCAGGCGAGCGCTACGCGGTGAGAGGGAATCATTTGCATACTGATGGACAAATGAGGCAAATGTGTTGAGTTACATCAAAGTAATTTTAATGCATAAAGAGATTGTATTAATGAAAAAAATAGATGTGTGATTTTGAAGTTTTACGGATTTTAGCTTTTGCCCCAGGAATGTCATTAAACTAATAAGCATGGTGTGGGTGTGGGTTATTTTCACACACATAAATTATCACGGATCCCGTAATTCATGTATTAAGGTTGACATATGAGTGTTTGAGCTTCCTTGTTTAAAAAAACACAGTTTTGGAAAGAGCACACAGTTTAGATATTTTTCAAGAATTATTTAAATGAAGAGGAAGTCATTAAAATGAACATTGCTAAGAAAAAAATGCTTATCAAACAAGAATTGAGGCAGAGGAGCCAGCGTGTGTCTGTGTTAGTTAAAGCAGTGTTTGCTCATGAAGAGGTATTAAGAGCAGATGATTAGGAGGGTGGTGCCGCAGTGATTTAGGGGCCCCACTAGGCCTTATGATAAAAAGATCCCAAGGAACCCAGGGGGGGAGGGGGGGGGGTGGGCACACAAAAAGCCACAGCAATAAACACTCATCAGGCTCTGCTCAGTGTGCCCCACTTTACTCTGCACGAAAGATGGAGTCTGAAGTCCCTTTTCTGTCGCCTCCTGGTTTCTTCACTCCTTAAAGCAACTGTCTTTACCTCAAAGTTTTTAAATGTCCCTTCACACCATCCTCCTTCACCACCTCCCCCACTCCCTCTGCCCTGTGGTGAGGTAGTTATTGAGATCATGGTGTGTCTGAGTGGCAGTGATAACCGGTACCCAGGTGCCACTGGCACATGGTGTTTAATTAATTAATGAGACCGCGGGGTTGGTTTTCTTATTGCACCCAGTCGGCACCTCCTAGTGTGGGGGAGATAGCCATTAAGTGTTTAGGTGTGTGTTTTCAGGCAAAGCAAAGGGAGATGTATGTTGAGGTGTGTGTGCTGCGGGTGTACATCTATTTTGTTGGCAGTTTGGGAGCTGGTTTCGTCGTAACAGGAACATTAAACATGTATGGAATATTTTTACTCTGACTTTTAATCACGCCACGTGATTGGGAGTTAATCATTGGCTAAATGAAGCTGATGACGGGAGAAGCACAGCGAGTCTAAATACATCAATCTGAACCCGCACACTAACCAGGTCACAGACTCGGTGCCCTGTGAACAGAAACACACACATAAGATACAAACTATAATTTATTATGGCATCAAATGCTTGATTACAGTGTGAAAATGTCTGCAGAAAATTTATTTTTCTTCTTTATGGGTTATTTCTTTTAGACAAAAATTAGTTTTTGTTTTAGAGATGTGGCATACGCTGTTACTGTTATTTACAATATTTCCAATTCTTTTAAACAATAACTTAATTCAGACTTCACTGTTGTGTGTTTAAAACACAAATTGTCTTTCAGAGTAAAGTTACAGTTTTATTCTGCAGTCCTCCAGCAACTTAATAAATGAATAAAAGATCGAAATAAAACAAAGAGACAACAGCAAAAGGCAGTTATAAAGCATGCCAGAGAAGGAGATGCCAAAATAAAGTGTGGTACACATTAAACTGATGGACTGATCTAACAAATAAGTCAGAAACTATTTTGAGAAAAAAGCCTTACTGATAAAATCTAATATTTGGCGTCTCCAATGGTTAACTTCTCGCCTTTCTTCAGAAACAGATCATTTGGTCATCAGGTCATCTGATGAAGAGTCACTTTGACGTTTCTTCCCCTGCATGTCAGCAGGTGAATCCACAATGAAAACATTTGTTAACTGCAGAGTAGTGGCTGGACTTCACAACATAATACCGGATGAATAATGTCCACAGTATGAAAATGGTGAATAATATTACTGTGAAAGAAATGTTTTCTATGACTGTCTTTTACCTGCTATAGTTTGTATTAGTACTTGTAGTCTGCTGGGAGACTCTGTAAATCTTAAGTTAACGGCAATTATTCTTTTGCTGTGGATCTGTGCCAGCTGTGTCAGTGGGGAGTAAATGTGTAACAAAACACATTACGTACAGCATGATGTATGCCTTAGTTTTCTGTGATATATGGAGATCTGTTTGTGTAATTTAACCCAGTCCTGCTACTTAGCATCACATACTTTTGCATTTTGCATGAGTGGAAGTTTTACTGTCAGAAAGATGTGGCGTGGGGGAGGACATTTCCCTGCCATAAATGATAGAATATGCTTAAACAATAGAAAATCTGCATTTGTATTCACAGCTCATTTTTAAGAGCAATTTTACATGGTCCATGTTAGCAAATTATGTATTTCATTCTTTACTGCTTCCATAAACTACTCAAATATATTAACCTACACGCCATAAATGTTACTTCTGCACAACTCTTACACTCGCACGCTGGGCCGGCAGTTTGAGCTGCTGATACCACAGTGAGAAAGAATGATTTACTAAAGCTCCATAAAACTTTTCTCTCTGTGGGAGATCACAATAAAACTTCTATCATCTCTGCTTGTAAAGTATTATAGATAGGCTCTGTAAAAATAGCTTTATGGCTCAGGAAAGGGAAGCCTTATAACTTGTTCAGTCTTGCATATTATGGTTGGAAACAACTTATAGCTTGAAGACAAATCAACCAAAAGGAAACTGACCTTAAACATAATCTAGTACACATTAGATCTATCAAATAAGGGTTCAAAACGGTTGTTTTTTAGCTGGATTTAATTGTGTTGTAATGTGTAAAAAGGAATAATACATCTGGTGTAGTAAATTAAAAAATCTGTTTCAGTGTAACATTTCTGATATTCTGTTTGAATATCTGTTGTTTACATTTCTGTAACATTGAGACAAGTTATCTGTAAAATCTGTAAAATCATGTCTAAAACAATTTTCAGTATGGTATAAAAAATACACAAATTCATACTTAGCATTGTCCAGCTGAAAGCAGCCGTGTATTTCAAATGTACCTCAGAACTGATTGTGTGAAATGTTAGTACAGTGAACATCTCTGATAGCCACAGCCACTTAAATACTAACCTAACTGCAAATTAGGGGGGAGGAGGATGCCCAAGATTTGAGTTGTGTGACCTTTGTCAAATTTGATGATCCTCATTAATTCAGTACATTTGTAAACCACAACAATGCTATATCGTGCATAAAAGACGAAATCCTTAGCCGGGCCAGAATAACAAAAGGATCACTTGGGTCTCATTCTGCTGATGAGCACAGTTTAAGAATGGGACAATCTTCTACATTTCTCTAAATTTCTCTAAGATGTTGTACTATAGTTTGACATCAATGGAAACTGAATGTAGATCAACAAAACAAAATTTCACATCTAACAAGAAACTGTCAATCAC